AATTTAACTGTTGTACTGCTTGGTAAAACGCTACGTTTATTTCGTATGTATTATGCATGATTAACAAACTATAAGCATTCGAAAAGTGAGTTTTCAGACGATTATTAAAAATGTCATAGACTTTACATACAACTCACGCTAAGCGAGTTAATTAAAATTACTTTTTTCATAATATTAAATATCAATTCCTGAAGCCAATAACGTAAGGAAAGCTCGGCATCGATAGAAAAATATCTCAGGTATAGAAAATGTAACAGTAACTTACCTTTATTTGATCTCTAGTAACTAAAATTATAAAAAAATAAAGGGTGAAAAATATGACTTTGCGATGTACCTTTTTTTTGGGGCCACTCTGTATATTTCAAAATAATTTTAAAATATGCCGTTCATGGGAACACATAATACTCTAAAAGTTTATCCCCATTTCATTTATCATACAAGAACGGGTGCGATTGTGGTAAATTTGATTTAGCATTGTCGCTAAAGAATACATATAATCAATGATGAAAAGGCTCTTTGCAATACATAGTTATAATTTTTTCGCCCCTTTACCATGCTGCGAATCATTTCTGGAAAACTATTATATTTTGTAATTAGGGAATAATTGACATTAATTTGAGTATAGGTGATAGGTGATGGGTGATCTAAAATGATTAATACCTAGTTATATAATCATGTTTATGTACCAAGTCAATAAACAGATCTCTGTTTTTAAACACAAATGTAGAATCTACTACATATATGTCAACAAGTGTCAGAATAAAATTTAATAAAAAAATAGGTCTATAGCTATCGCGATTTGCGAATACAAAATCGAAAGAGTTACACCCCAAAACAGAAGTTCCATATCTAAATCCGGGTCGACAAATCGATTGTTATTAACAAAGCCGGAACGCGAAATGGTAGGAACTGCTTTTCGAATCGTACTACATACCAATACTATTACCATATTTTCGGCGGGGGCAACAACCACAAGACACGGCGAATCGAAAACTTTTAAATTGTGCCTTGTTCATGTCACGCTGCGTTGGAAGTATAGCGAAATTTATGGCCCCCGTTGCCATTGTATGGAAAAATTTCGGGTACAATGTCTCTTCTTGGACGAAAAAAATCTAAAAATATATATTGCCTTCGAAATTAAACTCATTCAACATTTTTCCTTTTCAGGAACTATAAAATATCAACACTTTTCAGAAAAGAAATCGACTTTCAATTGTGCGAGAGTGTAGTAAGTTGAAATTAGAAAAAGTATTCGAAATATGTAAAAGAGAATGTGGCATTGGGATAGTGGGAGGAGGTGCTGGAGAAACAGAAATTTTTGACGCTTTTAGTTGCCGTTTGTATTTTAAACATCGGTATCGTAATGAAATGACGTAAACAAAATCCAAAAGATTTTTACCTACAATTTATAGGCTAGCTCAAATATTTTGTAAATGATATAATTGTTAAGCTAATGCAATATTTTTTTAAAATTTAACTTCCTGTATATATATATATATATATATATATATATATATATATATATATATATATATATATATATATATATATATATATATATATATATATATATATATATATATATATATATATATATATATATATATATATATATATATATATATATTATTTGATTGCGCATTTTATAACGCTTTTATAAAATGTATAATTGGCTAATTATATTTTTTAAATAAACTTATTATTTGACGAATTAAGAAAATGTACTTGTTCTCTATCTTAGCTTTATTTTAGTTACTATATTATTGTATTTAAGAAAATACGAACACCAATACCAAAAAATAGGAACAAAAAAAACTGCCCAAACTGATTTCCATTCTTATTGCATTTACGAGCATTACGAGTTGATAACTTGATAACTTACAAACCAGAATTCAGTGGCGTTCTTAGATTTTTTTTAATAAAGATAAGTTTCGAGATGCAAGCCAAAAATTTGATTGACCTTTTTATTCGCTTTTTATGTTTTCAAAAATGAACATAAATATTTACACTTGTTTCCCTATAGTTCTAAAATGTGTATAAAAAAATCCACGTTACATTATTGTCTCATTTCATGCCCTAATTACTTTCTGATTGAAGACATACCCAACATTGGAAAAATGTTTACCATTTTTACTATTCTGTAGTTTGTATTTTTTGCGATAATAATAACAATAATAATAATAATAATAATAATAATAATAATAATGATAAGCGTGCTAAAGATAATAATCATGATGATGATGATAATATTGATGATAGTAATAATAATAAATAATAGATATTGTCAATGAAATAAAATTTTTAAAATGTATTCAGACAGTCACACGTCTTTGGGAAGCGTATATGAAACGCTATCACATTTTCAAAAATGTACAGTACATTGGATAAAAAGAAAACAACTTTGCCTCATATCTTAAAAAATATTTCACACAGACTAGGTTAAAAGCCTTATGAATTGTATCTTTTATTTAACATTATCTAGATATTAAATGATAAAAAAATATATATCTTCTCCTCTTGACGTTCTTGGCAGTTCTCTGGCGTCAGTCCATCGATGACTTGAACAACCAGTTCTTTAAAAGTCAAAGTAAAATAGCCTATAAATCCGTACACCATGGCTTCTAAATTCTGAATAAATGTATGTCTTAAGGTCAATATCTTATCCGATTGCGAGATTTAACTAAAATATAAATTCTCCATTAAATTTCGATTAACACGTCGATGCAAGCGAACGAATGTATTGACTATAATAATCGTATACATTGACAATTGTCATAAAAACGCAACCCTCGCATTCGCTACGGGGTTCATGCCGGCAAGCTACACTCGCTATATACGTGTAACAATGCCTGAAATAATCCCACGGGTTTGGGAAGCGCGGGGAGCGACGTCCCTCGACGATTCTCCTTATATACGGCTGCCTCCCCGGGGTAATCTACAATACAGTCGTGACGCCCCTGCCTGACACGGCTTTGTCAAGAAATCGCAACTGAACCAGTCGGTCAAAATTGCTCAAATAATTCATTGAATTCGTAGACTATTTATCACGCAGGAAAATAAAATGTGAAATTCCATCCATCATAGTTTAAAAAAATAACGATTTTAAAGCACTTCTAAAAAACGACAAAAATAGTTAAAGTATGAAACAGTAACTAAGAAGGAAGATATTCTTTATCTTGATGAGACGCGAATTAAGTTAATTAAATTTAAAATATGTAACTATAACCAGTGCTAGACATTTCATGGAAGGCATGTCCAAGGGTCCATATTGGAAGCGAAGAGTGATTTTTAAAGGAAGTTTTGCTATTGTTAACCTTTCAGCCGTATCATACGAAAGCCTGCAAACCCGTGTTTCTATAACTCGCATCGATCTTAGGTTTGGTTCAAATTTGACTCTGAGCTCAACAGAAGCCAACGATTTGTACATAGTATTTAGTAGCCTGTGGAAGTTTCTTTGAAAAATCAATCAATAGAATCTAGTTATTAAATTTTGGAGTTTTAGATTTCAAGATGTCCAAAGATAAAATTTTGCCCTATTCTGAAATATATTCGACAATGCAGTTGAGAGGAAAAGCACCATCATTTCATACTAAAATATAAAAAGGGAATAACAAATAGGCTATCAGTTCAGTGGCGGTTTTCATGTTGCCAAATGATGTAAGCGTAATTTTAGCAAAACAAATTATAATACACAATGAACGTTATTGAATGTTTGTTGCGACTAGCATGAATAAAAATGTCCCTTTAAGTAACATGTAGTAAATATGTAAAATGAATTTTATTGCTATTAAAAGTTTTATTAGTGGTTAAGTTTCAGATATAAATTTTGTTTTGCTTTTTTTGCCTCAAAACTCCAGACCCATAGTTTGTGGTTGCAAAAAAGGAAGATCGCTCATCAAAACAGCTCTATAATATTCTACATTTTGTCAGGGCGTTCGAATTAATATCAACTTTATAATTTGGATTAATGTTGCCTTAAAATCATTTTCTGTTTTTCCAGGTAAATAAAACAGAAGCCGCCACTATCGATGCATTTACTCGCATGCTATCATGATGACAGCTGACGTTGGATAATATGATTGAGGTAACTACTGGGAGCGTAACATACAAAAACACATCAGAAGTATAGCTTTTTAACATATGACGTAACCGTGAGCATACTATAATGAAGTATTTACTTCGGAATTATGTACGCACGCTCATCGTGAAAGCGCCACAATAAAACATCAATTTCCCCACTCGGCAGACACACTTCGTAAGGGGATGCATTTGTAACGTTGAGTAGATAAACTTCTTTATTCTACCCTACGCTATAAGCGTGGTGTAGAGGAACATCACAATTAGTAATACGAAGTGATAATTTTCAGTTTATTTACCTTATACCCGTCACGTTTTTATACTAAGTAAAATTGCGCTGCTCGTAGACATCGGGAACATCTTGTCAGTGGTGGATGCGATTCGTCTCTATTGTTCACCGAATATTTTGCTAGTGGTAGGGATATTCCGATATTAGTAAATACGAGTAGGTACTCGATACTTTTGATTCGATAGCAAGTATTTCTGGCATCGAATCAATCTTGCGATACTTACTCTGTATCGAAACAAAAGTACTTGGCATCAAATCGAATCAGAATCACCATTAAAAAAAAAAAACACCGAACGCATTAGACAAACATAATCTCTATCTGATTTATGGTGACGCGTTATCTCGCGCCAGCCAAGCCGAACTCGCGAGAATTGTCGACCAACATAAATTGTCAAACATAAAGAGATTGCTTACGAATAATTTTATTATAATCATCGGCTTTATTATTCCAATGTTATCAAGCAATTGTTTCGACGGAAGTATCGATATTTGAGCAGTATCGAAACAAATAGGTGGTGAACCACTCGAATGGCACCGTATTTGAGCAGTATCGAAACGAATGGTTGCCATGAACCCCTCCAATGGCATCGGAACATTCCTAGCCAATGGCTACTTAAGATTTAAATTAAAATATGCCCGACTTTAAAAAGTCGAGCTCCACAAATTGGTTATAGACTCATTTATATTGTCCCCCGCCACGGAAATCTTTAGTAAAAGGCGAAAGATTTATTCGCTCTGACGGGAGACCAGAGTAACGAAACGTTCGTTCGAAACCTACTTATCCCCGCCGTCATGTGCCGCGGCAGCGCGGAGCAAATGCGGCGACATCTGTCGGTTGTTTTAATAGTTCGTCAAAGATAAATATGTTACCGGCAAAGTTTGAAATCGGGAATTGTATCGAAATGCCAAGTAGTATAAAAAATGTTTAAAACTATCTGGCATTGTTTGCAATGAATTGTATTATATACATCTATTACGCATTTTATGGAATACAATTTGGTAATTGGCAATGTATCGATTATTTATATTATATTTATATATATTATTAGAGATTATTATATATATATATATATATATATATATATATATATATATATATATATATATATATATATATATATATATATATATATATATATATATATATATGATGACACTATATTCCGGGATATCATCCGTTCGCTCGTTGAACTCCGACTGGAATCCTGCATCCGACTGGAATCCTGCAAATCTTGCATCCGACTGGAATCCTGCAGACGTTTCGAACACTCAGTGTTCGAAGTGTTTTCGGAGCGCGAGCATTGAAGATGCCAAGTGAGATTTTGGCGAAACGTCTGCAGGATTCCAGTCGGATGCAAGATTTGCAGGATTCCAGTCGGATGCAGGATTCCAGTCGGAGTTCAACGAGCGAACGGATGATATCCCGGAATATAGTGTCATCACATTTTTCCATCCGTGAATCAATACGTGAGAATATATATATATATATATATATATATATATATATATATATATATATATATATATATATATATATATATATATATATATATATATATATATATATATATATATATATATATATATATATATATATATATATATATATATATATATATATATATATATATATATATATATATATATATATATAGTACGCAAAATGGTTTTCTGCCGACTTATAGGGGTGAGTCTGTCATTTTGGATTACAAATACGTTCTGTTCTAAAGTCAACATTCATATTGTTTTAACAAATAGGTCACAATTATGAAAAGTGCAATAAAAAATGAAATTTCAAATTTTACATAAAAATCTGTAATATATTTTTTGTATGTTTTTCCGTACCCTGTACAAAAACCAAATGTCAAGCAGTACGAACTTTATTTTTAAAAGAAGCAAGAACTTTTATGAAGTATGACATTTTTCCGTACCTTTCATTTTTTATTCTATTGTTCTCTTGTCTGCTCCTTCCGTGGACATACTGTATAGTCTGATTTTGCAAATGGTTGGATTAAAGAAATGTTATTTGAGCAATTACTTTGAACAAACGTGTTAGTGATTTGCCTTCTAGCAGTTATTTAAGCTATTTCTCCTAGCTCGTTTTATTAGTCAGCCTTTGTTGGTTATCAATTGTTACTAAATAAAATGTTACTTTATATGAATTTACACCTATTTACAGAAAAAAAAGAGGACACGCGACAATTACAGCTCGCTTAAAAGGAAAGAAGAAAAAAATCTATCTTATTATTAAACGAAGCAAGTGAATATTGAAAATTTTTCATTGTAATTGTAACCAGCGAAAAGACTTTAAATTAGTAACTTATGCTAGCGAGAGAGAAAATAATTTTTAACATTATTATCAAATTATTAATGACTTTATAACTTAAAGATTTGAGACAGACATTGTATAATTTTGTAGACCATAACGAAAATAACTTCTTACAAAGCTCCTTTTTTTTCTCTTTTAAGGGACTTCGGCACTCGAATCTTGTGCAATACTGCGTCATATTTAAGTAATGCGTGGGCCAGTCTGCAGTAATTATTTTGTACTTTCTATAAAAGATATCTTCCATGGAATTCAACGCAAACCCATAGACAAAGACAGTAATTCAGGTATGAGAAAGATCACCCAAAGGGATTTTCGAAATCTCCTTTGCTACAGAACGTTGATTATCACAAAAACATTCAAAGTTCATAATTAAAAATTCTAAGATGCGCTTTTATTTCTGGGCATTTAAAAGTATATTATTGTATCAAAAATTACACTAATCGAAAAATTGAAGATCCAAAAATAATTTTTAATTTGTTGATGCGATAGGTGATTTGATTGACACGCCGCAGCCTGTTTTAATCGAATTTGTAATTTATTAGCCACGCTTAAAATTTATCATATCGTACATTGTTAGCGCGATTTAAAATAGACATTTGGAAATTTTATTTACGCGGAATATGGCGTTAACTTTTGCGACTCCCCCATAATGATAAATCGAAATGTTCTGCGTGGAATGCCAATGGAAATGAAAATTCTCCGAACGTGGCACTGTCGCACATAAAAATGGACAAGATGGATTAAAAGGGGCAAACGTCGTTTTGGCGAGGCTTAAAAAATGTTAAAATTTTCTACGGTTTTTAGTTGCATAGGAAGATAAATATGACGTCCCCCTAATCCTTCCTGAGAGAGAATTTAGCTTTAGAGCGAGGAAAAGAAAGAGATAAAAGTTCAGGAAAAAATGTTTATTGGATTTGGTCCTAAATCCGGGAACTATGTGTAGCTTCCTACAAGTACTTGGGAGTAAATATTAACCAAAAGTGGCATTAATGACATCTTTATTCCAAGAAAGTTAGGCTTCTTTCACAAAATATGAGTAGCCAAATCAGATTTGGTCACATAGGTGTCCTTGTACTTTTTTTCCAAACTAAGATGTTCGTGAACCCTGATGGAGCTCTTCCTGCCAGACTGTCCAATATAAACCGATTTAAAAAATAATATATTATCACAAAACATTATTAACCAGGGACAATGAAATATTACTGAAGTAGGTTAAACATCAGAATCTGAGCGTTTTGATTTTATTATACCTTCTTCTTGTAATGTGATCCATTTAATGAAGATCGGCAACAATTAAGGAAAATTCTCCTCTATTTTGAGCTTTTCTTAGTAATGTGTATGAGTCGAAACCATTCCAGTCTCTAATGTTCTTCAGCCAAGACCATTGTCGACGTCTGGGACCGCGTGTTCCCTCGCTGTTAGCTTCCATTATGAGTTGAATTAAATTGTATGTTATGTCTCATAAGATCGCCGAGATACGCTGTTTTTGCGAGTTCTTTAACTTTTTTCTGGAGGTTAAACAAATCGTGTTTTTGATATGATATGACAATTTTAATTTGTTTTCAAATTTGTAAAATAACTATTTCATAGGAAGAAGCGTATAACCGTATAAGGATATATGCAATTTGCCTAGTCATTTCCTTATTAAATGCTTGATTTGAACGTTGGACGCTAAAAAACGGAGGAAAAAAAACAAAGAATTAAACGAGGAGAATTGAAGGCAAATCTCTAAATGATTTGTTCTACCGTTCCTAACCAATGCAAGATCGAGAAACGGTAAAGTTCCCTCGACTTTTCTAACTTTGTAACTTAGTTTCACATTGTAACCGTCTCTCAGCGCCGATTGTTTTCGTTTCGTTTTTCCGGGAACGCGTTAATTTGTCAGTTCGGGTTCGTGTTTGCAAAGGTGTCCGCTCGCATCGGAAAAATGCTTTTCCGTGGTGTAAATTTTCCATGCTGGCTCAGCTGGAGACGAGCCAGCGCGTCAATCGGTCGAGTAGCAAAACGAATTTGTAACCACTTTGTCGTTTACAAGATATTATCAGACTATACTACTTTTTCCAGTATCGATTACAAATGGAAAAGGTGTTACCGTCGTAAAACCTCTTTTTTAATGTTATTTCTTCCCCCCTATTCGGTGTTTTTTTTATTTTCAAAATCCGTTACCCAGTTGGTATTTAAAAGTTTCTATGAAGGGAAACTGTCTTTTTCCGTCGCTCTGTGATGCCCAACCTCTTCAGCAGACGATAGCAGGGAGAAGGTTTTTCATCTATACTGTTCTGCCTTAAGTTTATCAAAGTGTTCAATATGAGTTTTAAAATTCAAGGAACATCGAGTAAACATTATTCATCATATAATTTTTTATTTGATGTCGTTAGGAGATACTATAAATATTTATTGAACTCTAAAACAAAGGTCTTAAGAGTTTCATGTTAACGGACGCATAGAACATGCGTTTTAGTTTAGAATTATAGTTACTTTCCGATAGTTGTTGGCAAAGTTCTTTCTTGTAAATGGCTTGTAGTACCTGCATTGGTTCCATACGGATTATTAAAATTGAGACTTCTTCTTTCGGTTCCTTTCTGACGTCCACTTCATTTTTATGATCTCTTGGAAAGTTTCTTTATAAGCTGCCACACAAAATAGGACGCCTTTTTATTAACGATCCATTTTCCGCCTTCCGTTTGTTCCCTGTATTATTAAAGTATTCCACCTTTCTCCTCTTTACAGCAAGCGCCGTTCTCACTTAAAGTATGCGAGACCCACAATATTTTCATATATCATATATTTTCATAAAGCAGGATAAACCATACATAGCATCTCAAGACTGTTTTACGGAGGAGCATTGAGAGACTTCTATTTCATGGAACTGTTTTCAATTCGTGTTGTTATATTTTCATCGCATTTAACCAACTGCCGGGTACTAGTAGTTTATGTACACTATCTTCTCTGCATCAATCCTAATTTGCCTGTAATGTACATTTATTTTTCTGATTGCCATCCACTAGTTTGTAGTGTTGATTTTTTTATTGATGCTTGGATGTGTTCTCTGCAAGAATGTTGATTGTTTTTTACACCTTTTCGTCTAGTATCCAAGGCGTCCCTGAATGTTTCTTCTGAATAGAGAAGAGATTTGTCGTACGCCACGTTTAATGGCCAGTTTTTGAGTTTCGTGACTTGGGGGTGGAAAAGACTGCCACTAGAAAAATAATACACTCGTTTTACTTTAAAAAAAAAACAATGCGTACCTTCTATAAAATTCGAAAAAGAACTTGTAAAAAACTTTGAAGGATACGAATTTTCAAATTAGAAAATCACTACCAATAGAGGAATAATAGAGACTGTAGCAAGGAATAACACTACTTTTTAAATGAGGGACGTTCAAACCCTGGAGCAAATGCTTCAAACATGTGATTGAAATAAAAG